TTGGACACTTCCAGGGACCCGGGGCCAGCCACAGCTTCTCTGGGCAACCTGGGCCAGGGCCTCCCCACCCTCATAGCCAAGAATTCCTTCCTAAATTCATCAAATATTGAAGAGGCCACTGTTTGTAGGAGCTTCAGTTTTGCCTCTATTTGTCCAAAGATGATTTGACCACAACTTTCGAAGAGCAGAGTGTGCACAGATGTGACTGGGTTGTCTCACCTGCTTCAACCTCAGTACAGTTCCTCAAGGAACCAACATTAAGATTCCATGATTTTGCCATAACCTTCACTGTCATTGCAAGGAAAGAAGGTCCAGCCCTCACAGCCCCAGAGTAAATCAAAACCTCAGCAAGCAAATAAAACCACCCCAAAACATACTCAGATTTTAGAAGTGTCATAGTTTCTGAAGTCAATTCTGAATTTGTACTCTTAGAACTACCTACACCAACAGAGACTATCTCTCTCTCTCTCTATATATATATAGATATGTATATATATATGTATATGTATATATATATATATATGCATTTCCTTCTCAACATTGTCTTCATCTTTAAAAGCAGCAGTTTGCTTTGCTACTAAAGAGACTCATTACCCAGCCACATCAGACTGGGACTTCTGCCTCTTTCCAGCAAGTTTTCCATTTCTGGCTCTCAAGTTCTGACCAAAAAGGTAATTTTTCAATCATCAGAGAATGTGTTTGGCACTTAGGGTTTAGTGCCCTGTAATGACGTCTTTAAAGCTGGAGAGCTGAAGTGTACTTAAAATAATAAAAAAGAAAGTTGGGCTAGAAAACATAACAGCTGAGAAACTTATTGGAACAAAATACACATAAAAAAAAGGGCTTTTTATCTTTTAAACACTCAAAGAATTCTGTCCAACTGCAGTTACAACCGAAATCTTTTTTTCATCATCTCATTTTGAACACACCTTTAAAACAAACCACAACAATGGATGGAGCTTCCTGCACCCACTTCCTGCCCTGAACCCTTCTAATTCTTTGAAATAAATATGTTTTGGGTTATTTTTGTGAGGGCAATGTTTAGTGTCTGTCCCCCAGCGTGTAAACGTGTAGAATACACCAAAGGTTTAACATCTGCTCCGAATAATTTTTACAGAGGCTCTCAGGTTCTTTAAAGGTTATTAGGATATTGTACAGGTGGCCAAATTATTAAAATATGGTTTAAATTCAACACTTGTGCATTTTCATAACGTGGATCGGATTTGAAAGTCTGGAAGCCACATGTGGATGCTGGAAAACACCAGGCTGGCTCCCTGGAAGTTCCAGCATTAAAGGCCACTTCCCAAACATCACAGCTGTGGCAGCAGCACACCCGAGGTAGAAGGGATGTAAAATCCAAGGAAAGCTACTTTCCTTTCAGACAAGTGACCTTTGCCAGCAGCATTACAGCACTGCTTTCTCTGCCCCACACTGATCAAGTCAAGACCTTCCCCAGCTGAGCTTAATTTTAACATCTGACTCCAAGCACGGCGCTGCAAGTGTGTAATGCAGAGTCAGACAACTGCTTTTGATCCTGCTTCTTTGCTCAAAGAGGGAAAACTAAACGAGGGAAAACTAAACAAATGTGGTTATTAAAAAGCCCTGCATGTTCTTCACAGGTAAGACTCGGTGTTTATTCCTGTTTTGGGTTGCCTTGTATGGAATGAAGAGGAACCCTCCTGCCTGCCCAGCGGAGCGCAGGGTCCCAGCTGGGAGGGAGGACAGGATTCACATCAGCCCAAGAAAACCCACTGGTGCAGTCTGTGGTTTTGCTGGGCTGCTCTGAAGGCCACAGAAAATGGTTTTAGTGCAGAAATCTTTGTGCCTCCCTTGGGGGAAGCACTCGCTGTGTTGCTGTGGGATGAGAGGTTCCATGGGTGGTTCCCTCTGTCCCACGGTGTTCCCATTGTCTCAAGAAGCACCTCCAGCATCACCTGAGGGCTCACTCTGGTCCAGAGGAGGCCATGAAGATGATCCAAGGGATGGAGCCCCTCTGCTCTGGAGACAGGCTGGGAGAGCTGGGGGTGTTCAGCCTGGAGAAGGGAAGGCTCCAGGGAAACCTCATTGCAGCCTTCCAATAATTAAAGGGGGTCATAAAAAGGAGGGAGAGGGACATTTTATCCAGGCAGAGAGTGACAGGACAAGGGGGAATGGTTTTAAACTGACAGAAGGCAGGGTTAGATTAGAAATTAGGAGGAAATTCTCCCCTGTGAGGGTGGGGAGGCCCTGGCCCAGGTTGCCCAGAGAAGCTGTGGCTGCCCCTGGATCCCTGGAAGTGTCCAAGGCCAGGTTGGACGGGGCTTGGAGCAACCTGGGCTAGTGGAAGGTGTCCCTGCCCATAGCAGGGGGTGGCACTGGATGGACTTTAAGGTCCCTTCAACCCAATCCAAACCAATTTGATGACTCTGTGAAGTACAAGACTCACTGCTTTAACTAAAATAACATCAGAGACAGCTGAGCTCGAACCAAAACAGAGTCAAAAACCATCTCGAAATTGATACTAAATTTGATCTCCAGCATTGACTTGGGGAAATATTTTCATCCAGATTTTTCTTGGACAGTTATTGAATTGGAAGTTAGTGAAAAAGTGAAGCATTCACACTTGGTTTTTAATGGAAAGATCTCTGCAAGGAGCCTTGTAGGAGATGAAATTCATGTCCATAAACATAGCAAATGTGCTTCCCACAACACAAAGTCTATTTAAAAACCCCCTCCAGATTATTTTTTGTTAAAAAAAACCTACTAAATTTTAATAATTGCTGAAAGGAAATATTCCTCACATACACTCTCATACTTCTGTCTTCACAGAGGAGTGGAAGCACACAAAAAACTGAAAACTCTAAGAGGAGGTGCTGAATCATCTTTCCTGCTGAATCCACTGTTGCAGAGCACCCCCCCACATAAAGCAGTACAAAGCTATCCCAAATGTGCTTGTTTCCACTTGGAAAAAGAAAAGCCAATGGCCTGATGGAGCTACACTGGGAATTCTTAATTCTGGATTCAAGTTGGACAGTTTTGCACCAACACTTTCTAAGGAATGAAGAGAAGAACTGCTTGTTTCTGGCAGCAGCCAAAGGGTCTCTTGCAAGTGTCTGAAGGGGTGGGAATAGGCAGGCACAGCATTTTGTACTTCTCACTGTGCTTATTCTGCACAAAAGTAGCTTTTTAATCCCAGTCTGGAAGGGAGTTAAGTGGAGCAGCACAAAGGCATTCCTGTGGGGATGCTTCTCGGGGCAGCAGGGAAAAGCAAACCTGCCCCACAACCTGCTTCTACTTCACAACCCTTTCAAACCCTAATTTTACAGGATGAGCAGTGCTGAGGTTTTCTCTGCTGTGCTCTCACCTCTCCACAGTGGCTGCCTCTGTTCTCTTATAACCTTTCCTCCCACAGGTTTGCTTTGTTTTTTATTTTTCCCTTTAAATTAAGCAAGGCTGTACATTCACTGCTCATCTGTTCAGTAACCAAACTGCTGCCTTTAGTGATCCTGACTATTATTATTATTCATTCCCCTTTTTGTTCATTCCCTACGAAGCAGCTTTAAAGTCTCTGGAGCTGACAAGAAAAGGGTGGCTTTTATTTCATGAAAAGGGATTCAAGTCCAAATCAGACCTCACAGAATTCAAATATCAATCCTGAATATGAAATTACAGTGGTTTTGCCTCATGAAAGCACATTATAATCCTCTGATTCAAACTCAGGGGGGGATCACACGGTCCTTTCAGTAAATGCTTTATGTTAAATAACTGCCCTTTGAAGGTACATCACCATTCCTATGAAACATTTTTTATTTTAAAGCCGTTACCCAAATATCCCCCATAAAGAACATTGAAACATTTCGTTATAGTTCTATTTGAACGTAAAAAACCTTGACTTTAGCCTGTCATTCAGCTTTTTTAACCTTCTTCCACGTGCACTGTTTGGGGTCTATGTTCTTCCCTCACCGAAGACACCTCAGGATGCCTTGATGTCAAACAAGTGCTCTGCATTTTTATCCCTGAAGTTAATGGTTTCCCACAGTTTTTATTGTAGGGAATTCTCAAGTACTTTTTTGCTCATCAGCCAGTCCAGATCTATCAACAGAATCTGTGTTTTCTCTAAAGAAAGTCTGACCTCAAAGCTCTGATCTCCCTGAGCTGCGTGGAAGTGCCTGCTCATGTTGGTTGCTGCCAACATGGTGAAGCAGCTGCCAAAAAGGGGAAAAAGGGGAAAAAAAAATCTGATGGCACTGAAAAAAACCCCCCAAACATTAATTTCTCCTACTTTGGTTTTATTCTTAGCTCATTTCGATTTCTCAGCATCCTTGACACAAAACAGAAAATTTAAAAAAAAATCAGAAAGAACATGAACAAAATTCTTGCCTTTTTCCAAAATACAAATTTTCCTAGTGCCTAAAGAAGGTCATAAAAAGGAGGGAGCAGGGCTTTTTGTATGGGCAGGTAGTGGCAGTAAGATCACTGTTCTGGCATTCAAACAGGGAGATTTTGGGACAAGTCCAAATAAATCCCAGATTTCCTGGCTTGGACATCACCTTTACCTGTGTGTGTACAGTCCTGTAGTCACACACCTGAACTGCACAGGCTCCAACGTGTTCCAAGCCTAAAGCTCAATAAAGGCTCAATAAAGGGGCTTTAATCCCAGGACTTTTAGCTCAGGCACATCCCCTTGGAGTCAGAACCTTTGAGGAATGGGAGGACACATCTCCCTACAAATCTATCCTGTAGCAAGACAAAGCAGAGTAGACTTGAGAGGAGGCTGAATATTTGGAGGACACTCAGCAGAAGAAAGGTCAGAGAGTCATCTAAAAAAAGGTCCCAAGTGGCTCAGATGGTTTTAAAAACTGGGAAAAAAACCCTCTTCCAGCCTAATAGTTTATTCTCTCTGGTTTCATTATTTGCATTTAGCAAAGCCCTTAAGGAAACAAGTCTTAAACCATCAGATTTCAGACACACAGGTTTGAAGCCACCTGCCACATTTGACAAGTTTTAAGTTTATGGACTCGTACAAGTATTAAATTTATTATTATTATTATTATAAGAAATAAGAAAAGCCTTATTGCAGGCTCTTGGTAGGTACTGGAGAGCACAGAAGGGGAAAAAAAAGGCAGCAACATTCAAATATGAAAAAAACCTTCATGTCTTATGAGATACATGGGCATCATTAGTTCTGATTCCACAACTACTTAAGGGGTAAATGAGCTGCTTCCCACAACAAATTCTGGAAAAAGACAGAATTCTAAATTAAAATACCCATGAAATTCTGGAAAGAGACAGAATTTTAAATTAAAACATCTTATTTCACTGCCCTATAGTACTTACTTACCACATCATACATAAACACTTGCAGCTCTGCAGAGCTGTCACACCCCTGGAAGCAGGAATAATTAAATTAACCTTTGAGGAATTCTGCCCAATCCACCAGTTTTCAGTGTAATTTCATCTCCCAAATTGCCAGTGCTTTGTTTGTCACTTTTCTTCAAGGTGTTTAAGAGCATTCTCACACCTCAGCACACACCCAGGTGGTAAAAACTGAATTATATATAATAAAATAACTATTCTGAGAGATTGCAAACTGCCTGGGTGATCACACTGAAACCAGAAATACATTCACAGTTCCTACAAGAGCCTGCAGTTTTATTATTAAAGATATTTTTTGTTATCCACCTTATTTATTATAAATCAAACAGGTACAAGCAAGGAAATGGTGCAGCCAATGTGCAGCTTTCAGAGCAAGGGAATCCTCAGCTCACTCAAAGAAACCATTTTAGGACTAAAATGATGGACAAAAGTGGGAAAAATCCCCCCAAAAAATCACAGAAGGAACCATGGCCTGCACTTCAGGCTTCAGGCTTTGCTCCAAAATCCAGTTCCAAAATCCAGCAGCACTTGAAGGAACATTTTCTTGCTTCTCTGCAATAACATGAACAGCAATTTAAAGGAACTGAGCCTCCAGTGCAAAGTTAAACTCAGAGAACAGAATTCCCCTGGGAGCAACAGAAACACCACTTTTAATGCCACTTCCTTAAACAAAATGCTAAATTAAACGGAGCATAAACAACCCAGAACTGCACCTCAATCCTAGCAAATATTTTAAATAAACTGTTGAAATTGTTAACAACTTCCAGAGAATTTTCTGAGACACTTTAAAACCTTTTTTTTTACTTTCCTCTAAAAATCACAAGCTCTGCATTGGAGATCTTGTATTATCCCTACTGCTGCGAAAAGTTTGGAGCTTTAAAATGGATAATTGTCCTGGCAAGTCCAGCTGAAGCAGCTTGTGATCCTGCAAGCCCCTTTCACCAGTTTATTTAAGTCTTTAAAAGGCATTTTCCATTCTTTACTTACTGTATTTTGCATCAACACACACATTAAAAAATATGTGCAGACACACAAACAAAATTATATATATTTATGGATGTAAAAGGGCACAGAGTGTATCTTCATCACAGCCAAACCTTTAAAGAGCATCAGGTATTAGAAAATACTCTGTGACTGAAAATAAAGTTAAAAATAGGTGTTCTTGTTAGATTTAGACAGGGTCCCTTAACTGCATGTCCTCTTTTCCATACAAAAGGAGTTTATATGTAATTTTTAATTTATGTTTAGGTAAGACAATCCCTTCAGGAGGAGAATAACAAGCTGCTTTCCTGAAGTCACTCCAGAAAAAGTCTCCCAAGCCAAGCAGAAGGAATCCATGTGTTGGCAGTGATGAAGCTGAAAGCAACAAAAATGAGTGGAGAAGTAAAAACCCCCTGGAATTTATTCTACTTTTAAAGAAAAAAAAAATTAAAATTCCCAAAAGTCTTCTGCAGGAATAACTGGAGTTTCCAAAAGTGCAGCCTGTGGCACAAATGTCCTTGTTAAATATAGATATTATTGTGACTTTCAGTGGTTGTCAGGAACTTCTTCAACATCTTCGTGCTTTCAGATGCATCCTGGGAAAGGGAAGAGATGATCAGGATTAACCACATTCCTGGGAATAAAACCAACCCAAAAAGCCCCACTATTCCCATTTTTATTCCTCTGAATACCAGTTTTATTAAAATATTAACTGTATTAAAACAGAAACTGAGAGGAAAACCTGCTCAAGGTTCCACAGGAATGTGCAGTTCAGCCATAAAATGGGATTTATTATTTTGCATCCCTCCTCACTTCCATAGGAGAGGAAGAACCTGAGTAGTTGTTACTGTTCTCCTTCAGACTTTAAATATTTATGTACAGCCAGACTTATTTAGCAAACCAGAATAAGCTGTACTGAAAAAAATTAATTTGCAATTCCCACATATATAGCTGAAATAAATATCTCAGTACACACAGACCTCTCTTACCATTTAAATATAAGTTCAATTGGTAAAACTGAGTGGTTTGAACCAACCATACTCCAACTAAAAACATTTAGAAAGAGGCAAACCAGTCACTTCAGTAATGCCCTGATTTCACAGCTGCTTGATTGGTGCAAAAATGTTGGGAATCATCTTTAGAAATTCAGTCTTTTAGTTCCAAAAAGAAGTTATAGGTCAAAATGAGTGTTTAAAGCAGCTTTCATGTGTGGCACGAGCTACAGAGGCAGAACAGAGCCCTGAATGTAGGATGGAAAAAGCCATGAAAACAGAAAGGTTTTAACATGAGACACTTCCCCAAAGGAAACTGCAGCTTAAACAAGCACAAAAAAATCACTCCCTGATATGTTATGGCTCCTACAAGAGCCTGAAAAGTCAAAGTGAAGTTTTGAGGGCACCTGTAGCTTCATTATTTCTGAGAGCAGACATGTCACAGCAGGCACAATTCCAGAAATCACTGTCCCCCTGTCACTAAAATCCCTATTTTTCTGCCTTTTCAGATGGAATCTTCACCAACAGCAGAATGCAAGAGGTGAAAGACACACAGAAACAGCCCAAACCTCCCAGTAATTTTTAAACATGGGATTTTACCTTGACTAAACTCTTGAGGACTTTAGAGGAAAGCAGAGGCTTGAAGGCCTCAATTGTCACCGTGTCCAGTTTGATGACATCAGTGTAGCACTGGTACAGCACTGCAGGGATCTGCCAGACCTGGCAGTAACTCAAAACTAAACCACAAGGAAAAGAAAATGGGGTTTAATTTCAGCAGAGAAGGAATCTCAGCTCTGTGTATAAAAATGACAGCTTGAAAGGTGTGAAAGTTTATAAATTAACTGCTCCAGCCACCCCTCATCCCACAGGAACACCAGGAAACAGACCACCAAAAATGAGTTCAGTGCAGTTGGTGCTCCTTCCTGGCAAATATTTTAACTGGAAATTGGGTATTATTGGTAAATAAACTGTGTATTAACTGGAAAAATGTGTATTACTGGTAAAGAAAAATAATAGGAGCTTCTGCTAAAAAAGAATTAAAACCAAACAGGTACCAAAAAAAAAAGTGTGAATAAGATAAAATCATCTACTTTTAGCTCCTGCCAGACAAGTTTTTCCTCATGTTGCTATTATTTTATTCTAAAGTAAAAGCCTGAGGGGTTTATTAGATTATATAATAAAACTGAATCTAACTTTTGCATGAGGTTAATCAGTAGCATTTTGAAACATTACCTTTACATGCAGAAATAACTTTATGAGCTTTTACTTGGATGCTCAGATGAAAGTAATTCTTAATAAAACCTACTCAGTTCATCAGTAAAATTCCCAAAAACCCAACGTACAATGTGCTTTGTGAGGCTACAGTGAAGAATTTTCCAGTACTTCTGTCCCACACTTGAGGGGTAAAAGGATTTGTGGGTGGTTTTGAAATTCATCCTTATTTTCCAGGGTAAGATGTGAAAACTTCAGGGGTTAATTATCCCAAAAGGTCACTTTTCAGCCAGTTCACATGATTAAATAAGAACTCTAATTGCAATGGGATGCTCCTCCAAGTGAATTTTGTGTTGCCACCACCAGCAGCCTTGTAAATAATTGGAATTATAAATAATTGGAACTGTAAATAATTGGAACTGTAAATAATTGGAATTGCAAATAACTGGAATGGTAAATAATTGCCAAATACCAGCAGCAGGAAGATCCCTCACAATGTTGGGCTGTTCCAGCAGTGGGCAGCAAACCTGCTCCTGGAATTCTTTGGTCTTCAAGGCTTTCAGGAATGGAGATGCAAGTGTTAAAGTGGATTCCTGAGTTTTATAATCAGCCACGGGGCACGTTGAGAGGATGGTTACCTGCAAACCTTCCTTTTGCATGGAGCCAAAAACCTGGAATTAAAAAAAAAAACCAAAAAACACATCAGGAAAATTTATCTTCCCAGTGATAGCATCAAAACCCAAATATTAATTTTAATTTCAGAGCAAAGGGCAGTTTAACTTGGGGTTGCAGGACAATTTGAACCAGAAATTTTCAGGTAGAAATTTCCCACGCACTCCTCTTGGCATGAACATAAAAAAAAACCCACCCAAAAGAACAGCTAAAATATTCACCAAGTCTAGTGATTTTCTGGAGATTTTTTAGGTTTTCAGCACTGCAAATATATCAGTACTTACTATTTTTATTCGTGGTGATTGTGGGAAGAAAAAGGACTCGAAATGAAACCAGGCAGCTCACTAAGCTGCAGGACATTTGAAATGGGAACTGTGCTTTCCAGATGTTCTACAACACTAAAAGAGTCTTTATTTTAAACACTCAGATTTAATTCTATTCAAGCTGAATGCAGAAAGAGGACTTCAAATTTTCCACAGTTTTCCTCAAATTCAAAGAAGAGAGCTTTAAAGCCACTGTACAAAACATTCTCTTGGATTCATTGCTTGCCATCAAAAAAACACCAACACCAGAGAAGGAAATAGGGAATTTTTTAGATGTGACAGAAACTTGCCTGTTTCTGTCTATGCCCCAGTCACAGGAGGGAAGCTGCCTGTCCCTTCACATCAGTGTAGTAGCAAACTGATGAAAAACCCATATATTTTTGTTGGGAACACTGGTTGGAACGCTGGGAACAGTGGCTGGAATGCACAACTGCAAAACCCCGTCTGTCCTCATTTCCCAGTGATCCCTTTTCTGAGAGAACACACACAGAGGCAAAAATCTGCCTCCTGGAGAGTGAAGCTGCTCAGTTAATCAGGGTTTACACACAGGACAGGTCTGTAATTCACATTAAAAGCAACAGATCACCAGCACAACGTTTCTGCCGTGCAGTCAAACCCACCAAGAACCACGAAGCCTAAAAATACTCAGGAACACTGTTCCTGAACAGCCACACTGGAAATCACACACATCCACACACAGCTGGAGAAACACAAAATGGGGAAGCCAAGGAAACCACAGCCACCTTTCTTTCACAATCCCAGTTTAAATCAAGTGCAAGAACGTGTGGAAAACAGCAAACCCCCAGTGTTTTAGGCCTCGGGGTCTCTAAGCCTGACTTGATCCCCAGTCCCAGCCTTACACAAAGGGCTTTAGAATCTCTGCCTGTCCTTCAGCCCAGCAGAGGTTTCTAGGTGGGGAGGCAGGTTAGCAGACAGACAGCAAGATAAAATAAGCCACACCTCCCTCAGGCAAAGCAGTGACCCAAATCCATCAAGAAAATCACCAGCCACAACATTCACCCCCAGATTTTATCTTATTAAAACCAACATGATGATATTTGGAGGGACTTAGATGACCCAGCAGCCTTCCTGTACCTGTATTATGCTGGGGGGAGGCACTGGGAATATTAAATCTACAGGAAAGTGGGATAAATGCTGCTTTGGAGGCACCTTGCTCCTTGTGAGAGGCACAGAACACACCCATGAACAGACACCATCCCTCAGGATTCTCCCAACAGGTTTGGCTGGTGATTCCTTGGCAGCTGCACAAATGCAGCTGTGTTATTGTATTTTAAGGGAGGATCCTCCAGGAGCTGAAATGCAGCTGAAATAAGCCCTGGAAAATTAAAGCCAAACAGGAAAAAGGGTTTGGAAAACTGAAACTGTCCAAAAGATGCAACTGCACTGAGCTGGGAGGTTACAGCAGAGACAACTGGCAGCATCTGGAAGGAGACTCCACAGGATCTGCAGGGAGTAAATCTGTGCATCTGCTGAATATTTAAACAAAGAAAGCCACTGAGAAAAGTTATTTCCAACACTGTCATGCTCAGAGTATCAGAGAAGAGGCCCTCACACTAAGCTGAAGATCCCCACCCCTAAGATTTCATCACTCAGTTTGTTGTCTTGCCAGTTTTACCTTCTCAAGCCACTGGAACTGTTGATCCTCAGCCACGTAGCAACTACACTGGCACAGCAGAACCTTAAAAAAATTTAAAAATGGTGTAAACAAATGGTTTAAAAGGCACAACAACAGCTCATAATCATGTGTAAAAGTGATGTGGTTGTAAACAATAGCTTGTTCAGTCATTTGGGGTTTTTTAAACTCTATTTCAATGAGGATTCTTCACTTTGGACTGAGTTTCACACAGCAGAACTTCACATGGTTTTAGTGAGCATCAACCCTTGAGATTATCTATGAGATTCACCCAGAACCCTGCAGCCTGAACACTCTGTGGGTGGATGAAATTGCTCCCATTTTAACAGAGTTAAATCACAGAGGAACAAGTGTTTAAGTCACTTACTGTGGGGTCTGATATCAATCTGTAGAACAAACAGAAAGAATCTGTGGGGAGGACATTTGTGGTGCTGGATGTTCGACACCACTCATTCCACAGCTTCACCACTCCAACCACTTCCCAGCACACAGAATCCAGAATAAAAGACGACAGGAAAGCTGCAAAACCCAATAAACATCATTAACTTATGAATAATAAAATCTCTGTTGTACAAATAAATACCTGAATTAGATTATCCCTTTGCGACCTGAAGTAAAAATAACTCATTTTTATCAACATGCATTTAATGGCCAAATCCAGGAGAGATCAACAATATTAATAACCCCACTGTATCAAAATTTGTAAGATAAAGAGCAGTTCTACATATAGAGATCCACAACATCAAAAATTGTGTTCTTAGGAATTATACCATTACAGTCAACTTCAATTCCTTTAGTATAAGCTAAGGATGTGAATATTAAGTTTCTACCACTTCTTGACATACCAGATATAACAGATTAAATGTAAAAATCACTGAAGCAGAATTATTACACTGGTTATAGAAAGCAGAGAAAAGAGTGTGGCAAATATATTCATCAATCAAATTCCTGTCAAAAGCTACAGAACACAGATCCAGAACATCTATTACCATTTTTCAAGGAAAACCAAAAACCTGAACAAAAACTAAACAAGTAAACTTGGATATGAACTAAATGCCATCTAAATGGGACATAAATGCAAGCAAGACTTAAAACTTCTTCATGCCCACAGGGAAACAGCTACCAAAAAACCCTCCAGTTTAAGTGTGTGGGGGAAGAGCAGAGGGTGTTTTAAGCCTCTAGGCCTGATGAGTAAACAACCACCTGAAAAGAGGGCATGTTAGAACTGGAACGTGAAAAAGGGACTGACTGAGCAAGGAAACAAAAGTTTAATCCCCTCCCCCCAAAACACTGCCCATTAGAAATTAAAGAAATTACAGTTTACTGACCCATATTTGACAGATCCCTGTTTCACAAAACTAAACTGCACTGAGCAACTTGCTGCTATCAGCAGAAAACTTTTGTCAATTAAAGGATAATTCAGGAGTTTACCAAACAAAAGTCAGGTAAAGGGAAAGAGGAGCTGTCCCAAATAAAAGCCCAACCCAAAACATACTTTGCTTCTGCCCTTCACCTGAAAATACAACAACTTTCAGGAGGAATAAATAGCTGGCACAAAAAGCATGTTTTATATGTAAAGACTAAGTTTAGCTCTGGGTTAAAACTCTGCTCCTAAATGAGGAGCTGGACATCCAGTACCTAAAGGGGCCTTACAAGAGGGATGAAGAGGGACTTTCCACCATGACATGGAGTGACAGGACAAGGGGGAATGGCCTTAAGATAAAGGAGAGCAGGGTTAGATTG